CTCGAGGAGATCTCGGTCACATTCTCGCTCTCGATCAGCGACTCCTGCACCCTCGAGCCAGGGTGCTCTCTGCTATTACCATGAACGCTTTGGAGACAAAGCTTGACGATGCACTATCCCATGTGCCCGATCGAGAGCCCTCCACCAGACCTACGAGGGAAACTAGAACTGCTGTCATCCCTACAGGCGGTTGGCGAGAGCAACAACAACACCACCATCAAAGAATGACGCCTATTTCTCCATGACACCCAAAACCACATGAAACTTCTCATTGACTCAGGGTTGGTCATCTCCATAATCCCACGTGCATTATCGCACTCGTGCAATCAACTGTCAGACCTCAAGCCGTACGCGGCAAACAACATCTGCATCAACACTTACGACCAGCAATTGCTCACACTCAACATCGGCATTCACCGTCCACTCAAATGGGTATTTGTGGTCGCTGACGTCAAAACTGCCATCATCGGAGCTGACCTTCTAGCCCACTACGGCTTGATAATTGATCTCAAGGGACATAGTCTCATCAACTGGGAGACTCAGCTCACTGCTGCTGGTCAGCTAGTTCACACCTCAGTTTATGGCATCTCAACAATTGCCCCCACTGATTCCTCCCTGCCTCCAGCCTATCAACAACTCCTCCGTAAGTAGATCAGCATTACCATGCCAGCACCCATCAGACACAGATAATCCTGTCTCGCATCCCTGTCTCGCGTTGTCACCACAGGCCCACCAGTTGTGGAACGGCCAAGGCGACTCACCGGCGAGAAGCTTCAGGCTGCTAAGGATGAGTTCGACCTTCCACTCCCGTACAACTTCATCCAGCCTTCCTCAAGTCAATGGGCAAGTCCCTTGCACATGGTACGCAAGAAAACAGGTAGTTGGCGGTCAACTGGTGACTGGTGACACAAACATTTTTCTGCATTTTCGATCATCCTTGATATGAAATAAAATAATAAAATTTAAAGGCTTGGTGCATTTTTCTCTTACTTTCCACACTCAAATTTTCATCGAAGAACGCCAAAACAATCAATTCTTTGGATAAATGCCAGAGGTTACTAGTTAATTTCTCAGACAGCCTTGCAAATCTTGTTCGGGGAAGAACTAGGACGACCGGCATTTTCGGCAAACAGTTGTAACAATGTTAAGACTTTAGCGGGAGCGGTCACTGTATTTGGTGCTGTAAACCTGGCTCTTTGATACCAAAGAACAATGAAAATCAAAGCATCGGAACTAGAGGTACACCCTATTGCCGTCTCAAAAACTGCTTTCAAGAGCAGTTCAACAATGCGATGGCGACATCTCAAATACACGAGTTTCTTTTCAAGTAGTTCCTCCAGCACAATGCACGTTTCAGTAACGCTGCCTATATCAACCACCATCCCGCATGCATTATCGAGAACGTCCCACTCTTGCAAACATTTATAAACTACTTGAGCTCGCTGCCCCCGTTGCCCTGGTCTTCTTTCCAGATTAGGTTCTTATAGCCTGATACGACAACTGGACGGCGATCAACCGTTTCATATTTATTCTCTACTGCTGGTAGCTGTTTCCCAATCTAATGAACTGTGAGCATATGGCATGATCGAGCTTTAACATTCTCTTGGATGAGACGACTGAGAAACTCACGTTGCACAATTCGATTTCCCCGGAGAGTTTCACGGCTCACATTTATTTCTTCTAAAGTAGCGTTGGTCATTAAAGTCGCTGCTAATAAAAGTGTAGCCACACGATCACTCACTTGGGTCCTATCCAGAATAACCGTGAGATCTGGGATCATGATGTCATGCCCCGGAATTTGGTCAATTACATTATTGTTGAATAAATGGGCACACAGCATTGTGAGCGTGACACTTGCCAGCATAACTGGATTATGCTGGCCAAGTAAAGACATACAAACAATTATGTATTTAAGAGGCCGTTTAGGTATGGAAAACGTCGGTTCCAAATGGGGCTCTGACTCGTAATCATTGTAATCAGCCAGATGACATAGTTATCTATGATATACTATGAAGTAATAAACTCTTATATTTAAATACCTATAAACTATTTATTGGTGTGCTTTATCCTTTCTAGCCTAGAACCCACAATAAATATAAGTACCTCCCACCCAGGTTATGACAATGAACTTTATTTTTTTTTTATTGTTTAGACGTTAATTTCCCCCCATAACTGGTGTGCAGTTTAACACTATGCTCTATTTGTTTTAAAACTTCTTCGGTATCTTCATTTTTCGATTAGTATAAAGGGAAATTTAAAAATCCACACATGGAAAACAAATTTTCTAAATATGAAGATAACTATTGGTCATTGAAATAAACATGAAGGTACTCTTCAAATTCAGCTTCCCGAATTGATGACTTCTTTCAGCTAGCTCTTTAAATTTTTGGTCCAATGTCGACCTTACCGAAAAATATGTCAAGGAAGAAATACCAAACATTGCAGTTTCGACTGGCTGATGTTGATTCTGAATATAAAAAAGGAATATTTTTGAAAATAATATTTTTTTTTATTTTCTTCAATTAACATTTATACTTCAATCAATTTCATTTCTTGAATAAATAACTGCGGGACCACTGGAACATGACATTGTGGAATTTGTTCCTTGCCTCTGAAATTAAACAGCAGTTTTTTACATTTCATTTGTAACGTCTGCTTTCAAAATTAATAAAAATGTCATGGTGAAGAACATTTCATATTTTCCATTTTTGACTCATTTCCCCGCTTTTCCTTTTCTCCATCGATATTTCTCCTCTTATCGTGTTCTTAACTGTTACCCCCACTTTGGTTAATTTCAGCCGAGGCGAAGGCCCTTTACGACTTGGGTCATAAAGGCCCATCACCCGACACAATAAGCTTTCGTCTACTTTTTGTTATGTACTAATAGAGGTCCGGAGCACGACTTGCTCTCAGAGCAGAGGTTGCCCATCCCCGTTCTATATCATCAAAGCTCCCTTTCCTAGATTTGCAATGATATTATTTTCATTTGCATATTTCCGCTCTATACTGCACTATGAATGATTGAACGTGATAACAATAAGTTTCATTCATTCTGCGTGTTAAGGATGTATAGCGTGATTTTTGTAAATAACAACGAGACTGATCGGATATTCGATACCATCTCAAAGCTTGAACAATGAGCTTTTAGATGGTACAACACTCCCGGACATGCGATAATTATTTTTCATGTAAAGTAAAATAGTACTGTTCAAATACAAATTTATTTCAACAATATCCATCCACCACACGCGATTGAGAAAACTTCCACTTTGAAAAAATACATGAAAATTATCAAAAATTAGGAAAAAAAATTAGACAGTTAAAATAAAAAAGAAGAATGATTAATCAATATCCCGTTACATGTTGGGATTGTTTGCATTTTGGGCGCGTTTCTGATATCGCTCTAATATTATAAAATTCAGTTTCATTGATGGTCGAAAGAAGTCTGTCTAAGATTCATCTACCTAATCTGGTGACAAGGTCACATCACATCACAATGTCGAAATGATGCTACATAAGCATCACGCCACTTGTAAAAATAAATAAACGATAACATTTAAAACCAATAACAAGCTATGTCTTAGCAGCGCCAGCGATCAGAGCAGAGAAAGTAATTCCCGTATCTGTCCAGAACGGATTCCCGAATCAGCTCAGTTTTATTTTTCTCGGTCTTGACCGTGTAAATCGAGTGTCATGTCCATTGTGAGTACAATTACTTGAAGATATTCATCTTGGAGAAGTGCTGAGGGCAGGGTGGAAATACCTGTTGTACTCTTCTTATGAGTTTCTAATCGCTAAACCCAAAATCCGTCATTGATAATGTCCAAAGTAGTAAGAGAAAGGTCGCGTAAGTACTCATTTCAATTTAATCCTGTTACAATAATAACCAATTCAATAAAAACCAGGCAAAAGAAGGTGAACCGAACAATCACAGGAGTAAGTAATTAAACCAATTCAATGTGGCACATATAGTTCCTCCCTAGCTCTCTCCTCCCATATTTCAATCTACTGTGCTTAATTCAGATTTTTGAAAGTTGGTAAGATCCTCCAGGAATCTTCTTCCTCCATGGAGGTTATTCATCCTCATAGTTCGGGGCTGTGACCAGGGCTGCCAGACGACGGTTCTCTCCAAAAATCTTATGATTTTTCAAAAATAGAGTAGATCAAAGAAAGCTCCGAGTGAGATATCAACTACGTTGTTCCAAAAGCATCAATTCTTCACGTGATCGACTTCACTCGATTACCTGGGACTGTATAAAATCAAACAAATCTTTTGAAAAAAATCGTCGTCTGGTAACTCTGCCTGTGACAATTATTTAAAGGTAAGAATCCACAACTTGACAAAAATATTCATTTCACTGCCCTATGCAAACAGAGTGAATATCAAAATAGATATCCTCTCAATTTTTTCATACACAAAACGAACTCAGAATTATCTCCCTAGATGAGAATTACACTATTCTTTCTGCTTCTAAAAGCGTTTCATTCTAAATTAAATTACGAATCGTTATGGAGAAGAGAACAATTTAAAACCAACCAATTTCAGCGGGAAATTGAAAAAAAAGTTTCCAATGGTAATTGGAGATTGCACTGCATTTTTTCTGCTTTGCTCTGTTTTGACTTAAAGTGCCAGAAAACTCCTAACAAAAATATATTTTTGAACTTGTATACTCATGATAGTTGTGATACTCATTACATCCATATATTATATATTATATACCTTCTTTAACGCGAAAATGTTATAATTTTGGTTCGGTTAACGGGTGTACATACGGAACAGATAATAAAAATAGTTCAAATTGAGCAAGATGAAATATAAGGAATTTCTATGCATTCCTTAAATGGTCACGCCTCCCCATGAAAGTTATAATTATTCGTGCTATCGTTTCTTTGCCAAGAAAGAAGTAAGAAAAAATCAACAATGGCCGAATTAAATTTCATTCTAAATGGACCTTTCAAAATACATAAAAAAATTATCAATTTTATATGGAAAAAGTTACCTGATGCCTCAAGTCCTCTTCTTCATCCGAGCAGTCTTCGATACTGGCAATACTAGCTCCCCTAGGACTAAGTCCAGGTGGACTATACCCATTGATCCCCCTTGTTTCCGCTCTCTTTTGTGCAGCTCTAGCATTCTTAAACCAATAAACCACATTGTTAACATCAAGTGGCTTTCTTCCTCGTCTCGACTCCAGTGAGTTCAGCTCTGATACATAACGCTGTATCTGCTGTCTAGAGGGATGCTGATTTTCCGCAAACCATCGCTGCAACCTGGGCAACTCCAATTCCGGATCAAAGCTTGTTCTCATTCTAGTTTTGTGCGAATAAGGCAGCATCGCAGGGTGTTGAGGACCAGTCCCTCCAGTACCGCTGGACTCCATCCCTGGACTCTGATTATGTATTTGCCGATTATTACTAGCGCAAGTAATTATGGAATTTGCTCCGAGCGCAGCCATTTGGTGTTGCTGTTGCTGCAACCATGATTCAAAGCTACGCCTGGTTTCATCAGACAGCTCATTGCCACCTCTGCACAATGAAGATAAGGTCATCTGCACAAAGTCCATAAAAGGTATCAATGATAGCAATTAATTCCATTCTAAGGTTGTCATAAAGCTTTTAAATATTTACAGAGGGAAAGAGTATATTTTACATTAATGGTAAAAAATTTGATATTCCTGGCGAGAGGATTTGAGTTGTTTATATTTCGCTCCTTTTATCGGCCTCAAAAATCACTTAACATTCTCAATAGAAATTACGTGGTCTCTGAAAGCCCATCAAATGACACCCTTGGCAGACAGTGGCGAGGTTTGTACTCGATTTTCTACCTTACACCTCACTTAACGCTATCAACACAAATATTTCGCTGTTCGCACTTAATTTTAAAAGAACAAATTGTTATTCTTGCTCACTTCACCCAGTTCGATAAATAAACATTATCATTTGATTCAAGGGATTGCTGGAAACAATTTTTCGAGCAAGTCGGAATTTATCATTGGTTAAAGTACGTATCATATAAGGTGAAAAGGTACTTGTTAATGGTAGAAACTATAATAGAATTCATAATATCAAACAGCGACCATATATTTCATAAGTTATAGTGAATATGAACAATTCTAACGAAATTTAGATGTATAGCCTACGATAGGCGATTCGTACAATGGATGGAAAATTGCTAATACAGGATAAGGTAACCTAAATTCCGCACGTTACTCTATCATATTTATTTGATAGACCGACCTGAAGATGTACCATAGTAGAACAAGCTCATTACGTCAACATCTGAATTAGACAACTGGTTTTATCTGCGATATATCACTGACTGTATTAGCAGTCCTGATTCTATCGCAAAAATAGAAATAATTGCATGCCGGGGCCACGTTATTCCTGAACTTCCATGTCCAAATATTATTATGACCGTGAAGTTCGCTGATTTTCCACTAAAAAAAACTTTAAGGGCCGGGTGGACTATCTATCGAGCGTCATCTTTGATTTAAATTTTATCTTTTTAACCTAAAATACATAAAAATTTGAGCTAAGTTTTGAGGTCACGAAAATCACTGGAGTTGGCATAAAAAAATAATGAAAAAAAAGAGGAAAAAATTTTGAAGGGCGCTAAAGAGCAATATTTATGAAAAGGGATTTTCCAGGTTTACAAAAAAATAATGAAAAATATGTAGCATGTATGTCAAGTATTCACCACACAAACCAAACCCTCCACTGAATTGAATGCAGCTACAGGCAATCAAATGTTGCAGATTTTTCATTATTTTTTTGTAAACCTGGAAAATCCCTTTTCATAAATATTGCTCTTTAGCGCCCTTCAAAATTTTTTCCTCTTTTTTTTCATTATTTTTTCATGCCAAATCCAGTGATTTTCGTGACCTCAAAACTTATCCCAAATTTTTATGTATTTTAGGCTAGAAAGATAAAATTTAAACAAAAGATGACGTTCTATAGGTAGTCCACCCGGGCCTTAACACGGAATATCTGATAAAAGCATAATCTAATTTGAAGAAAAAAAAAAATCAGCATATTCGACATTATGCAGCATATCACTTTCCCGAAAACTCATCCCGATTTAACTATATATTTTGATGCCACGGGCTCAGTTGTACGAAAGAGTACTAGAAAGCCCAATTGAGACTGTCATGAAAGCTTTTCCGAGAATCGCTAAATCAGCACAGCCACTGTGTGAAAAACTTCAAGAAGCACTTGTCACGAAACATGAAGTAGTGGATTACCCGGACATCGAGAATGGACCGATGTATGAACGAAGTCCATTCTATCAGCATTTCGACAAGATTCGCGGGACAACGAGGAAAGACATCGACAACTGTAAGGAACAAGAAAAAATTAATAAATACCAATCAGTTGAGATTTCTGTCACTCGTTGCAAGATCTTCTCCCATATGTACCTCTTTGGTCGATTCTTGTGATTCCTGAGAAGAACCACATGATAAATACTTCTGCTGAAAATCACTTCAAGATCGTGAAGTCCGACATGACTGAAAATATGAAAGTTCCCACGTTTATTTCTCGAACTCATGAGCGCATGCTTCACGTTTATACTGAGCTAGATTTACCCGATCCCAAAACTTGCCTGAGACGTTCTAAAAAAAGGATTAATGAGCCAGATAATGCAGAATCTGAAGAATATTAGAGACGTGGAATTTCTCAATCCGGGAAACTCAGAAGTAAATACCAAGAAGCAAACATGTTCAGAAGAATTGCAGCGAAGCACGAGCAGCGCACCTTGGAGTTCCATGAAAACCATGCATTTAAAAATTAAGCTGTTTATCATTTGGCTCAACCATCACGCGTTTTCTTCGTGGCATTAATTAGTGCTCTGCCCAAACGGACAGCAAGTATAATGATCATGTCTGACGATTACGGGATTCTATTTGGGAAAGAGTGGCTCAGTAATAATATAATTTACTACTGGGCTGCGATATTAATAAGATTTTCCCAAGAAAATCACAGAGTGGCTTATGTTCCTTGTGAAGTGAGCACATATGTTACATCGGGAGTAATGATGAATACGGAGTCGTTACCCCGCAATTTCTACAGACAATTTGAGAGTTCATGGAAGCAAAAATCCCTAATATTTCTCCCTCTAAATATTAACAATTCTCCCTGGATTTTGATCCGTACTGACGTAACACAGTCCCGAGTTTATTTTATTGATCCAGGCTGAGACGTTCTAAACAGAAGAGCGAAAAAATATCTGCATAATTTCACTCAGTGCTATCAGAAGGTAAAATATCTAGAATCTACTAAAAATAGTATCCATGTTTTGATCGATATATATTGATTAATTATAGTTCTACAGGTTTATCCATCGTCGGAATTTGAGTGGTCGGTGGGAGTACCATCTCATCCGAAGCAGCTTGATGGATACAACTGCGGAATGTTTGTGCTTCATTTTATCAATCAAATTCTCCTTGGAAATATTTCTCACATGAATCCACTCTTGGATCCGGATGAGAAAAGAAAGGAAATCAGAGAAAGAATTCTGTTGCACTCTGCCGATGTTGCTGATCTTTGCCTTTATTGTGGAAGAGATGAAACCATGCTGAGAAATCAAACTTGGGTACAGTGTAAAACGTGTGAGAGATGGGCTGCATATACATGCCTATCTCATCTGAATCTAAAAGAAGAGGAATTGAGTAATAAAAATTTCATTTTTAAATGCGATTTTTGCATCCAATTTTTCTCATTGAATCGAGAATAACAGAAATTTTCCTCCATGAAGATATGTTTTGAAGTACAATCTCTTCATGATTGCTACCAATTTGCAGAGGAAAAATGTCGTTGAAATGTAAATAATCATATGTAAATACCCTCGTTTGGATTTGTTAATGTAAATAAGAATATATCTTCAGATATTGCTATTATATTCTCATTTTTCGTTAAGAAAAGCATTTCACGTGAAGATTGGAACTACAGTGATACGTCAGATGTTTTTTCTTAATATCATGACTTCTTTAAAAGATATTCGATGTTAGAGACGACAATTTTCTAAATTTCGGCATTTGTCGTCAATGAAACTATAGGAAACAGTTTTGAATTGTCTTCATGTTAATCTTCCAGAATGAATAATACTTTACGCTCATTTTTTCAAAATTCAGTTAATTAGTTTTTAGAAAGATTCCCTGCTGATCATTTTTATAGAAATGAGTATTGCTTATAACATGCAATAAGAGTTGGCAAAAAAATCGAAAAATCATCACGAGAAGATTTTCTAATTCTAAAAACGTAGGAATTTTTATTTCGTCGATTGTATAATTCATGAGTACAGTTAAGCTTGCCAAAGTGGGGAGTTTTCTCAACGGATTAATTCATTACTTGGGAAGAAAATGTAAGAATAAAAAAATATCACGACGAGATGTTACGAAGTTTAAGTTGATTTTGAATAGTTCTATTCTAGAGAGAGATATTCCGTGTGAAGGGGTTTCCGAAATTTTTAGATCTATAAAATCCGTTTTCACTTTCAATAATGCCATATGTAGGATTCATCACGATTAAAATTCATTATGTCGAATGTATTGTATATATGTTTTTTTTTCAAATTCTGTTATTCTTCTATCAGATATTCAATGTTAAGGTTTTTTTCAGTTGGAAATCAGCGAACTTCAGGATCATGTATTATTTCATGTCTTCCTGTTTTTTTTCTATTTTTGTCGGCACGTAGAGCGTAGTTGTCGCACTATTGATTTATTAAAACGTCTGTTCGTGTGAGGGACGCAACAAGTTGGCAGCATGACACCTCAGTGAAGTCAGATGAGATTTTCGTCCGCAACGTTCTCGCACACTTTCCGGGGCTCCATTAATGTACAGGTGTAAAGCCCGTAATTATAATTTCAATTCGCATGATCAATAATTCAAGTTTATGATAAAAAATGATAGAATTCAACGAGTTCTGACTTGAAAATTACCTGCAAAAAATGACTTGGTACCAATGGTAAATAAGCGTGACAGATTTTCGAAATATCAATAATTATCGGTTTTAAGTATACATTTTTCTACAATAGAAATAGCAAATTAATTCCTTTTTTATTAAAATTATTTATTTTTAGTTTTGTTTGAACACTTTCTGTTAATGTCTATATTCAGTACTTTGCACTGCGATTCTGCGAAAAATATTTAATCACAGGAAATTGAATGTGAAATTTAGTCAGTTTATAGGTCCTAATATGTATTTCCTCTGTGTTAAATTAGAAACTAATGGGTGGAGTATTTTTCGAAATATTGGTGATTGTTTCTGAAAAGCTCTCGGCCAGCGGATAAAGCCGTTCCCAAAGGGAATCGTCGTTAGGTATATATTATTATATATCCGTTTCTATAATTGTAGGTTTCAATCAGTGATAGACATTCTTCTAAAATATTAAACAGTCACCGAGAGTGTACTGTGGTTGCATTTCTGGACGATTATCTTAAGATGCGAGATGATTATCTCTGCTACATTGTCCGATCTGGCTTACAAGTGATTTTTATTTCTGCGCCACTCAAATAAATACACGGAGAAAAATATGTACGAAAAATTATTGGT